TTCCCTTCGACTTTCCCCCCGAACTCTACCCCCGCCTACACCCCCCGCCCAACTTCCTCCCGTGCACCACATGACTGGTTTCGGACTGCAAGGTCGGGCCCGTGTGTGGGCACCTGGCCGCGGGCCTGACACCTCAATTTTTTGGAGGCACGAAACGAAAACGCGACTACCGATCAAATTCATCAACAGCGGGCCCAGCGTTTAAACCACCAGTACTTGGCCCAGCTATCGGCCGCGGTGCTTTCTCGTTAACGCACCGCGCCTTTAGGGCTTCGGGGTACTGGACCACAATGGCTGGAAGCGCCAGCCAAAAGAAAATCGAAACGGTACCCCGGTGCTTTGGCAAAAATCGGCGCGCAGAGGCATTCCAGGCTCGGCATCGATAGCTTGGCCAAGTACTGGTGGTTTAACGTTTCGGCCTCGTTTTCTTGTGGCGACAAGTTCCGGACTGCAAGGCTGGGGCCGTGTACTTGTGGTTTAAAGCACTACCTAGTACCTCTGCCAGTGTTGGGAAAATAGGGAAAACTGGCAGTTTTCCCGAACTCCTAAAAAGTCGCGGGCTGGGCCCGATGACGGCCACCGTTGATAAATCTCATCGGCGGCCGTTATTTCGTTTTGGCCTCCTAAAACATCGGAGGCCCACCCGAGGCCTCCCTATTCTCTCAACCGTCGAAGGTTAAACCCAGTAGGTATTAGTAAGGTCTTCAGCTGACATGGGTGTGAGTGCGCGTGTGAGTGGGTTGCATGTGGTGTGTGGGAGAGTGTTGGCATTAGACACTACTGTTACTTGATGGGGGTTGGGAAAGATGAAAAGGGAGGCACAGTTACTGGCAAATGCTAGGTCCTTGTGTTAGCCAGGCCCCCACCGGTGGCCCCAACCCTGCACCCTAAACGCTAGGGCAAAGGGCAAACATGCCATTACCTCTCTCCACCGCGAGAGGTAGCCTCCCTTCATCGAAGAGAGGAAGAAAGCTATGCTTGCAGGGGTCCTCTGTATAGCCTTAGGAGTAGTGGTAGGTAGTGAAAGACAGCTTTGTTCCATGACATGGCAGGACGCCAGTTAAAAAATACGGGGAATATTTTCGAAATGCCCCTGAAGTTTGTGTTTATTTGTGGTGTGCCCCTCTGACGGCCGACTTACCTTGTTGTGCCCCTCTGACGGCGAATGATGTTTCCAGAAAACCCCTAGAGTAGTTTGGGCCTGAAAAATGTTTCATATGCCCCTACCGGTAACAGTCCACGTTTTCAGTATGCCCCTACTGGATGGCTGTTGAAAACCAGCACAAAGTTTCCCATATGCCCTTATTGGTACCGTCCATCTTTCCAGCGAGCCCTTGTGGCTGTTGTTGACACTCGCAGTCTTTCCCCTGGCCCTGGGAGAGATGCTACCGGGGCATATCGGAAATTTGGTGATGAGCACACACACACACACACACACACACACACACGCACACGCACACACTTGCGCGCGCACGCACACACAACACACATACACACACACAACACACATATACACACGCGCACACACAACACACATATACACACACACCT